CCTGAGATCAGGAGGCTTTAGCCAGTTGTTTAAAGAAGGCACCATGCACTCCTCCTTCTTGACCAGGCAACCTGTAGAAGATGTCCATTGTGGCATGCCCCTTTTCCAACTCTGCGCCTTCAATATAACAATAATATAGACGAGAACAACCTGACAATGTATCTGAGCCATACAGTGTCAAACAATGTCTTCTTGTCACCAAAAAGTAACAGGGTATAGTGCTTATTATTGAGGACCAATTCAAATAAATGACTCTACACACAAAAACAATGCATACAAAACAATGAAGAGTCTGCAGGTGAAAAAGATGATGATTTATTCTTGAGTGTACACTTCAGTTCTAATGAGATTTTGATTCCATCGACTACGACCTCAAGCCAGGTTGGCAAACACACAAAACCTGAATTTAATTAAGCCCTTCGCTGTTTGCAAAGCAGCAAACAATATGCTTGGTAAGCAGAGTAGACATATCTGTATGCTGATCTCTCTGCAGCATGCAATGTGTGCCATGCACAACTGGGCTGTGGCTACCGCTGCCAAACTTCCCTGAGTAAATGAACGCAGCATATCAATTTAAAGAAATAAAGAGAACACATTAGACTTCAAAATCCTCTGTATTCTTGGGAAAATATTAACAAATTCAGCATCTGAGTGCGGTAAGAAGAAAAATCTAGAGCAGAACATTGTTAGCTGGAGACAGCTAATCTGAAGAGATCACAACTCAGATCTCTCAGATCACAACTCAGGTAAAAGATTGCAGTGGGAATCTGGAGATGCCAAAATTCAGTGAGTTAGTTTTAGAACCCTGTCCAAGTCACGGTGCTTTATAACCTACTGTCCTGGTTTGGTCTGGACTAGAGCTCCCGTTGGTCTGGCAGCGGGAGGAGCTGCAGCCCCCTGAGACCCCAGGGGCTCCCCAGGGCCCAGTGCCCTCACCTGTGTGCGGGGGCGGGGGGAGCACAGCTGGAGGGCTGGGCCCCGATTGGCCGATATCCCCTGTCACGTGACACTGTGCTCACTATATAAAGGCAGGAGTGGGCCAGGAGGGGCTCTCCCTTCTGGGAGTGTGGCTGTGGGGCCTGTGTGTTGGGGATCGCTGGCCGGGAGCAGGTGGGTGTTGGATGGTGGGAGGTGAACAGCTGTATTGTACATTACCTGTTGATACTGCTGTCAGTGTATTGTTCTGTTACTGTTGTTAAACTGTTTTTATCTCAACCCGCGAGTGTCCCTTTGCCCCTCCGATTCCCTCCCCATTCCCAAGTGGGGGGAGGGCGGGTGAGCGGCTGCAGGGCATTTAGCTGCTGAGTAGGCTCAAACCACAACACCTAATTCTCTTCTCCCCAAAATACCATTTTCTGTGTAAGCCTTCCTGAGAGAGATGATAAGGAATTGTATGTTTATCTGGGAATGTAATGAGGTACAACTGCCTTTTCACCACAGAGCTGTGCAGGAGAAAGAAAGGAGAGACAGCACAGAGAAAGGACATGAGCAGGAACAGGTCTGTCAAAGAAACCCAGGTGATGTAAAGCCAAACTTCAGAGACAGCCATCCCCCACTGATTTCTCAAGATTTAGGAGCCTAAACATCTTTAAAAATCTGTACTACAGAATAAGTTATTTTGTTTTCCCCTCCAGCATGAGCTCAGGTTTTGTTTGCCTGTGTATTTCTGCAGTTCCTAATGGTAACATTTACTCCTTCAAGGGTCAAGACTTCTGTCTCTGAATATTCTGCCTTACTGTCCATATTTATGCTGGTGGAGATGGGGGCAGGACTCCAGTGCATGCCAGTGCCTGCACAATGCTGTGGGATTTAGCCCTGTGTCTCCAGGGAGTGAGGTCAGGTGAGGAGCTGCCAGGACTTTACTTCTGGTCTTCACAGTGTACTCAATGTGTGCAGAATCACTGAATATTAAGTCTTTGAGAGGTTATGTTATTCAGGACTAAACACAGCCTTGATCAAAGATGTACACACTACCCGAGTCAGGTACAAATTATTATTTTGCATTTACCTGGGGGTAGATTGACTGGTGTCATATCTCCTTATACAGTCCCTTCTTGGCCAGAGTGCTCCTGGATGTTTCAAGAACTGCTTAATCTCTTGTTATGGTCCAGGGGGTTGATTGCTTGCTTACCACCAGCTGTGATACTGTCCACCACAATGGTAATGACGTATCACTGGTAAGTGCAACACTTCTAACATCCTGTAATTAGAAATTAATCTTGTATAAACTCTTTCTATGGGTACCTTTTCAGTAAAGTGTGGCTGAACATCCACTCTCCTTTCAATGTAGGATCAGATTCTCAGAGGATTTTTGAGTACCTGGTTTCTATTCAGAAGAGCACTGGACATATAAATACACCTGTAAACCTGTGCTTGCCTTTGGAGTTATTTGTATGGGCTGTTCCTAACTAGTGGAATTTGTTGTGGCATTCAGAAAGTGTTAAGGCAGTGCCTGGGGCACAGGGATGGTGGTGTTTATGGTTTGGGAGACTCATTTTGATGGCACTGGAACTTCTTTAAGGCCCACCTTTTGTTCACAGTTGTAACATGTTCTAATAGTCAAGCCCAGCAGTGGTGGAAGTGTGGGTCACAATGGGAAAGTCTTTATCAGTCAGGGGGACAGTTACCCACAGAACTCTGGTTGCCAAACCCATCCCAGAGATTAACAGTCTGATACTACACGTAATTACATTTGGAAGAACATGAACCTGTTCTTCCCCCATACAGAAATGAAAAAACTGCATTTTCACCTTACATTTCATATTCCTTGTGTTCCGATACACAGAAATTCTCAAGGGATTCTCAGTCATCCATCTGTTTCTCGATAGGACTTACTTCCACCAGGGAGGCTGCCTCAGAAGCAGGCGTTGCTCTGCACCCTGCGCTGCAGAAGGGTGGGCTTTCAGTCCCTGTCACTACTTCTCAAGAGACAGTAAAGCTAATTCCCTAAAGTCACCCGCTGCACAGATAAGGGTCTATGTGCATTCCTGTATAGCATTCATACTTTACGTGTATCTGGAATTTAATAAATGTGGAGTTTAAGTGATGCCCAAAAGATGGCACTGTTTATTTGTGCTTTTTTCATTCTTAATTGCATACCGCCTTCTAGGCTGGCATATCATCTGAAAAAATTAAGACAGGACTTATGTACTCTATAGAGAAAAGCAGTACAAATCAAACTATTGCTGCAACATGGCATTTCCTGCAACCTTTAATGTGAAATATTTTAATGGGAATGGGCATATTGATGCTGCTTAATATTATAAGTGGTTGCCCTTTTTCCATATAGTATTTTCACTGTAGATGTTTCAATCTCATAAATTTCATTTATTGCCTGGTAATTGAAGAATGTGCTTCAGTTATTTAAAAGGAGGAAGAATTATTGACAAGAGATGGATCAGAACCAGAGTTCTGCCTTGAGGGTCCCTGAAAGTTAACATAAACATCTCTGCCTGTGCAGTAATCATTATCCATATGTTCTGAAAAAAACCCAACAAGTGCCAAATAGCATGACAGCCAAATTACAGTGAATCAGTTGCCCGCGTTTCTATTTGAACAGCCAAATCCCAAGTCCTACCTTAACAGTTTGCTGCAGCTATAGGACCAGAGTGAATGGGGAAATACAGTTTACCTTGCAGGAATGAATTTAATGAAAGGTTTGCTGGTAACCATAGCAAATGACAACATTAATCCCCATATCAGCTGTCAGGTTTTTCCAGGCCTTTAAAACTAGAAGGTGTGCCAAAAAAGCAATAGTAATAATAATAATAACATTAATAATAACAACAAAATAATAATAATGCCTTATTTTATTAAATCAAATCTCTTCACAATCTCAGCATAGGAGTCGCTTCACCTAGCACTTATATCCAGCCATTTCTGAGGTAACAAACTTCAGGTATCAGAATACCTGACAGATGGGTATGGTGGCTTTTGATTCCACATTTTCCACGTTCAGCTCTACATTATGTTATTTGTGGCTGCTACGTGAAACCAGAGGGTACCAACCAGTGAGGGTGGCCTGATGGGAATACAAACCCCAATGCCTCTGTGCTTTGCCAGAGCCCAATACCTCCTGCAGTGGATATAGGTGGTCAATAAAGGTAAAGACAGAGAAAATCTGTGTTGCTGCTGCTCTCGAGGTTTCAGAGCACCAGTTCAGGAGGCAGCTGAACAAATACGCCTCAGACATAAAGCTTGAGACTTAGTGGCAGGTCTAGCTACAATTCCACAGACATCTTTCTGATCCCCCAGACCTCCATGGGGTTTCATTGCTAGCAGAAACCTCCATGTCCTTCATCTGCATCCTTTTCTGTTCTCCTCCTGTCCATAATATTTCCTGCTTGCTTTCCCTCCTGACTCCAGTCTTGCTCAGCACTACCTCGATATAGATCTGACAGAAGTAGGGTGGGCTCAGATGTGCAGGACTATGACACTCCACTCCTTAAAACCAGTCACCTCTGAAACAGGTTGTGAACACAGTGCTCGGTTGTGCCCTGGTGATTCCTTCATTAGGATGGACCTTGCTTTTCAACATGAGGTGCCTGTTAAAGGAGACTCGAACTCCGTCGTGGGTTACTCTAGGATTTTATTCAGGTCCAGCAGCGTTGGGTCACCTCCGCAGAGAGTGACAGCTTACATGAGTTCGCATACATGTATTTATGCACCTACAAAGCATTACCTAATCCAGAATACACAGAATTATACTTTATCAGTCATTATTATCTTGACAATGGGTTTCACATCTTGTTCTGGAGTCCGACCACTTCGTTGTTTGTTTTCTTTTAGTCTTCAAGGGCGATTACCTCAAGTTCTGTACGTCTCAGTTCTTAGTAGTCACAATGATAGCATTATTATCTTTGTTACAACATTTTATTAATGTTCTATTCAGTTGACTGCGCATGCAGCCCTGGGCTGGGGCTATACAGGGAACAGAGCTGATAGAACAGCTTGTGCAGCAGCACTGCATTGCAACATTTTCTCAACAGTCCCCCCTTTTCTTTTAGGATACTCACTATCCTATCGGATACAATAGGGTCTGGTGGGTATACGAGATAAACACGAGACACAACACTGACATACAAACATTACCATGATCAAAATGATTATGACTAAAACGACTACCATTAGAATCTTCTTGATTAAAGTTGGAAAATCAGGAATCCAGGAAGTAGCCCATTGCCATAAATCACTAACATCCCAGGATACATTGTCTCGTTGCACAACTTGCATCATATGGCTTACTTCCTATTTTGGCAACATCTTATTCTTTCGTTTAAATGTTTTTACCAACACTTCATCTCCCACTTTATAATCATGAACCTGTACTTCTGGTGTCACACCTTGGTATCAATATGCATATTTTCTAATTTTCTGAAAGGAATCTTGTAAATATAATAAATATTGAGTGACATTCTCATCTCCGTCCAGTAGTGCAGTTTTTGCTGAAATATATGAACCAGGTACAGCTAAAACTCGTCCAAATAGGACCTCTGCTGGGCTAATTCCTAACGGCTGCTTTGGAGTAGTTCTAAGATCCCATAAAACTAAATTTAATGCCTCTGGCCACTTTAATCCAGTTTCACTGCATACTTTCGCTAACTTCTCCTTAATTGTTCTATTCATTCTTTCTACTTGCCCTGATGAAGGTGGGTGATACGGAGTATGAAACTGTCCTTTGATGTCTAGGGTTACATAAACTTGTAATAAAATAGATGCTGTAAAATGCGGTCCACGGTCAGAGTCTATCACCTCAGGTACGCCATATCGAGGAATGATTTCCTTAAGCAAGATTTTTACAACTATTTTTGAATCATTCTTCCGGGTCGGGAAAGCTTCTACCCACCCAGAGAGTTGATCTACTATTACCAGCAAGTATTTATATCCGAGAGCGGCTGGCATTTCCGCAAAGTCAATCTGAAGTTTCTGAAAAGGATAGACTGCTGGCGGCCTCTTCCCTGGCGTTACTTTTGGCCTTATATCTCCATATCTCTTACACAAAGAGCATCCTTCAGTCAGTTTCTTAGCTGCTGAAAAGATTCCTGGTGCTGCCCATAGCTGCGTTACCTTTGAGGCTACTGCTTCGGGACCTCCATGCCCCTTCTCATGGTACCAACGCGCAAGCGGCAGTACATACCTTCTGGGCAATAGAGGTTTACCATTCAGGGTCCAGATCCCTTTATCTTGCACAGCTTGCATCTTCTTCCATTCTTCCATTTCGGTGGTCGGGACATCATGATAAAGGGTAGCAGGGTTTGGGATAGAAAAGAAATTAGCAACCACAACTTCAGTCGTGGGGTAATTTTTAGTAGCGGCGGCTCGTGCTGCGGCATCTGCAAGAAAATTACCTGTCGCAAGCTGATCAGTGCGCTTCGTATGAGCAGGTATATAAATTACCGCAACTTCCTTTGGCTCTTGTATTGCCAACAACAAGTCATTAATCAAAGACCCATGTGCAATGGTTTTACCTGCAGATGTTAGAAAGCCTCTTTCTTTCCACAATGCACCGACTGCGTGACAAATGCCATAGGCATACTTCGAGTCAGTGTAAATATTAACTCGTTTATTCTTAGCATACAATGCTGCTTTGGTTAGTGCTATCAATTCTGCAGCTTGAGCTCCTAATGTCGGTGGCAAGGGTTCAGCAATGAGAACAAACTTTTCAGTAGCTATTGCAAAGCCCGTAAATCTTTTACCGTGAAGATAAAAGGAAGATCCGTCAGTAAAGAGATTCAAATCAGGGTGTTCTACCGGAGTGTCCCTCAAATCTTCTCTAGTCTTGCTTATGGTTTTCAAGACAGCTACACAGTCGTGTGATCTTTCAGGTTCAGTCACTGGGAGTAAGGTAGCAGGGTTAAGAGTCTTTGATCTCTCAAGTTTGACATTCTCTGTTAGCAAAAGGATAATTTCATATCTGTGTGTCCTTTGTGCAGAAAGCGCTTTTTCTGCATATTTAGTTAGTAAAAGTTCAACCTCATGGGGAACAGCAACTATGAGATAATGGCCTAGCACAATATTCCTTGCCTTTTCCACCAGCTCAGCAGCTGCGGCAATAGATCGCAGACAGTATGGAGATCCTCTGATAACTGGGTCCAAGGTGACAGAATAGTATGCTACAGGACGTTCGTAGGGTCCATGCTTCTGAATTAATACTCCCTTCGCAATTCCTCTGTTCTCTGTTACATATAATTTAAAAGGTTTTTTGTAATCTGGTAACCCAAGAGCTGGAGCATTTACCAAGGCAGTCTTCATGGACATAAAAGCTGTTTCCAATTCTTCCGTCCATGGTATGGGTTCTGGGCTCACATCTTTAGTAGTCTCTACCAAAGGTTTTGCAATCTCTGAAAAACCCAGTATCCACGGTCTACAATATCCAGCTTGTCCAAGAAAGGCTCTCATTTGTTTCTTAGTCAAAGGTCTAGCGATTTCCTGAATTGCCTGTACCCTATCTGGATCTAATTTCCTAGTACCTTCGGCTAGTATAAACCCTAAATATTTTACCTCAGGCTCACAAAACTGCAATTTGGAGAGAGATGCTTTATGTCCTTTCTCATATAATCTAAGACATACATATTTAGTATCTTTTACACAACTGTCATAATCTTTACTTGCAATTAACAAATCATCCACATATTGTATCAATTCTGACCCAGCCGGTAGTTCCAGATCTTGTAAGTCTCTCTTTAATATTTGAGAGAACAAAGTTGGTGAAGCAGTAAATCCTTGAGGAAGTCTGGTCCAGGTATACTGGCGACCTTCCCATGTAAAGGCAAATAAATTCTGGCTGTCAGGGTCAATTGGTATTGTAAAGAAAGCTCCGGTCAAATCCAAAACAGTATAGTATTTCGCCCAAATTGGTATTTTTGTAAGGATAGTAGAAGGATCGGGAACTACTGGATGTGGGGGTTCTACATATTCATTTACAGCTCGTAAATCCTGAACAAACCGATACTCAGGATTTCCATCCTCATCCTTTCGATTTTTATTTACAGGTAAAATGGGAGTATTAAAAGGACTAACAGTAGGTCTTAAAATGCCCTTATCCAAAAAATTCTGTATTTGTTTAGTGATACTAGGAATAGCTTCTGCTACGATAGGATACTGCTTAACTGCTGGGGGTATACCACCTTTAGTCTTAATTTTTACGGGGGTTGCAGATTTCAGAAGTCCCACATCTTTACTAGATTGACTCCATAGGGCACTGGGAACTTCTCTCAATTCCCATGGTATTGAGGGAACTTGTTGGACTTCTCCCTTTACAACTACAGCTGACCCTATAAAAACCAGGAAAAGTCCTTTCTTTCCCAAAGCAATTTGAGTTCCTAAATCTTGCAAAATATCCCTTCCAAGTAAAGATACAGGGGATCCTGGGGAAACTACAAACCGAGCCCAAGTATGTCTATCTCCGATTGAAATGGGTAAGGGTTTTGTCAGGGCTTTCTCCTCCGCTCCAATCACTCCTTTTATAATTATCCTATCACTGGATTTTTCAAATTCATCAAAATTTAACAAAGACAACGTAGCGCCAGTATCTACTAAAAAGATAACTCGTCGACCATTCACTTCAGCAATCAATTGTCCATCCGAATTCAGCGGTACTGACATTACTGCGAGAAACTTCTTTGACGAGGAACAGCTCCTCCGATGTAAGGTGAAGCAGCTTGTTCTAGAGTCTGCCTAGGGCGAATAGGACATTCTCTTTGCATATGGCCTACATTCCCACACCAATAACATTCTACTGTACCTCCTGTGGTAGGAGGAACCGGACGCCATCCTCCTCTACCTCTACCGGGGGGAAATCCCCTTCTCGGTCCCCGATTTCCTCTCAGAACACCTCGCCCTCGCATATTTTGGGCTAAAGCAGTTGCTAGTAAATACATGTCATCCCTCTTATCTTTTCTTTCTCGCCTTCTCTCCTCCTCCCGCTGTTTCTCTAATCTCCTCCTTTCTTCACTCTTTTCTTTTTCTAATTTCTCTTGTCTTTCTGCATCTCTACCATTATATACAAAGTTGGCTACTGAAATGATTTTCTGCAAGCTTTCATTTTGCCAGCCAGGCATATGTTTCTGAAAATATTTTCGAATATCAGGGGCTGCTTGATTAACATACACACTAATAGCTAAAGCTTCCTGAAAATTTTGTTCAGTCATCCCTCCGTGTTGTAACAGTGCTGTTCTTAATCTCTGCCAATAATCACTAGGGTGTTCATCGGTGCGTTGAGTACATTCCTGGACTTTCGCCCAATTGGTAACTCTCTCTTCACACTGGCGTACCGCTTCTATTAATAAATTAGTCGCAGTTCGCCAAGCCTGTAACCCATCTTGTGTGTGTATCTGCCAATTCGGATCAGCCTGTGGCCAAGTTGGTCTCCCAGGTGTATTCTGACTCATTTCACGATCTTTCAGCATAATCCTTTCTCTCTCTTCATTTGTAAACAACTCCTGCAATAAAGTTTGCATATCCTCCCAATTGGGCTTATAGTCTCTAATAATACTAGACAAAAACTTAGCACATTTTTCAGCATTGTCCCTTAACCTTGGCATTTTCTCTTGCCACAACATCAAATCACCAGGTTTCCAGGGTTGGTGTGTGGAAACTGCAATAACTGGAGGAACTTCAGGTCCTGAGTTGGGGCCTACTCTAGGATTGGAATGAAATTCCACTACCATAGGATATTGTCCTACAACAGATTTCCCTTCTGATTGTGGATGGGAACTCTGGTTCTGATTCTTTCCCTGATGATCATCAAGGAAGGCAATTAATTCTTCTCTTTTCATAGGTTTCTTTAGAGCCATACGATTTCTCAAATCGGCCCATTCCAGCCATAGAAATAAATAATTCATCTGCTGCGGATTCCTATCTTCTAATATCAATCTCAAACATTTCAACCTAGTTTCATCGAAGGTACCTTCAGGTGGCCATACTTCTTGGGGACCTGCCCCTCTAATTCTGGTTAAAAATGGCCAGTCATCTTGACATAACACTATAATTTTACTTTTACTCAACCCTGCTGTCCCAGAAAGTTTATTCCAATTTGCTAATAATTCTACCAAGGGAGATCCTTTAGGTACTGAAGGATATCCTCCCATTCTGCAATTTTCTTTGTGAGGGGTATTTCAGAGTGATCCTTTCCTATTCCAACCCACAAACACAGACAAGGGGAGACTTGAACTCACCTTTCTGTAGCCGGCAGTTTGTAGGATGTAATATCGGGATCCTCTTTTATTCGTCCTCCCCGTCACAGCCTAGAGTCCCATCTGGGGTGCCAAAACTGTTAAAGGAGACTCGAACTCCGTCGTGGGTTACTCTAGGATTTTATTCAGGTCCAGCAGCGTTGGGTCACCTCCGCAGAGAGTGACAGCTTACATGAGTTCGCATACATGTATTTATGCACCTACAAAGCATTACCTAATCCAGAATACACAGAATTATACTTTATCAGTCATTATTATCTTGACAATGGGTTTCACATCTTGTTCTGGAGTCCGACCACTTCGTTGTTTGTTTTCTTTTAGTCTTCAAGGGCGATTACCTCAAGTTCTGTACGTCTCAGTTCTTAGTAGTCACAATGATAGCATTATTATCTTTGTTACAACATTTTATTAATGTTCTATTCAGTTGACTGCGCATGCAGCCCTGGGCTGGGGCTATACAGGGAACAGAGCTGATAGAACAGCTTGTGCAGCAGCACTGCATTGCAACATTTTCTCAACAGTGCCCATGAGGCTGTGTCTGAAGGGGAAGAGGACACAGAAGCCAATCAGCCAGGCAGGCAACAGGGATGGGTGACTTTTAAACACCACCTTCCTTTTGACTGTGGGTACTGGTTAGCAGCTCTGAGACAAGGGAAATGAGGATTCAGTTTGGCTGCCTGAAGGAGACTTACTTCTGGGTCCATCTTCAACATGAAGAGGTTCAAGGATGTCCTTTCTCAGGAAGAGTCCCAACCACCAGGCAAGGGGTTGGACGCAACCACCCTGCTGAAAAACCTTTAAAAAAAAGAAGATTCACTCAAGTCCCAGGCTTTTATCTCTTCATCCCCAGTGAACTGTGAAGTCACTTTGCAGCTCATAGCTCAGTGAGTCCCAAAACACCAAATCCTGGGTCCTAAATGCTACATAAGAACTGGGACATACAAGTCAGATGCTTCAGGCTTTAGCTCCTGCCTGTATTGCATTTGTTTAGATCCTACATGTATTGCATGCATTTGATTTTGAAAACCTGTTTTGTTTTGCTTGTTCGTTTGTTTTAAGCAGGTCTTTTTTAACCAGATATTTGCTAGGCTGTCCCACATTGCTTACACCTACTGTGGGGGTGCCTCATTTTTGCAAAGAACAGTTATGGTCCTGTTTATTTGTACTTCCAATTAAATACGTAGAGAATGCCTAAAGATATGAACTATGGGTTACATCAGGTTGTACAGTTATTAACTGTCTAAAATCACGGGTGCCAAAATTTGTGCTCACAATACAGACTGTTGTTTTTGAAAATTTAGTTCCATACGGAGTTAAAGTAAAAAACAACCTATCAGTTCTTCCTTTTCTAATTTATTCTTCTGTTTAGATGCTCATTTACTGTTCAGGAAAAATATGTTCCTTTTTTGAGGGTGGTGGGGGTGGGTATTTTTTGTTTCAATGACAGTTTCAAGAATCAGATACATATCTGGAAATGAGACTTTTTTTTTTTTTTTTTCCTTTCTCCGTACATCTTCATAGCAATAATAAGGCATCAGAAATCAAAATTTAGCTCGCAATTTTGATGATGCTGCAAGAAGTAGATATAGCTTGCTGTTCAGCTATATTGGCTCTGCAGCACTGAAAGCAGTAAACGTTTGATTGTGTCAGTAAACTGAGCTGATAGATCTTGGAAGATACATAAGGGCAAATTTTCAAAATAACACACGGAGCTGGAGCCACAAGATTTGGTGCTAACGGGAAGTGAATGACAGTACTGACAACTTCAGCCACAGACAGCAGATCTGTGCAGCGGTGCGGTGGCAGTTTAAAATCACCCAAATGGCCGCTATTTAAGGAGGTGTTTTTCTTGGAATGATTTTTTTAAGGGTTAGTGTAGCTAGGTTGCTGCGAGCTGGCTGCGTACAGAGCAGGATGGACAAAGGTGGTGGGTGCTCTGGCACGGCTCCCATCCCCGTGCCTGCGAGGGGGTAAATGTCCCTTCCCAGTGGCAGCCTCCCCAAGGCAGAGCTGGGAGCTCAGCACGGGGAAAACCTCTGGAGGCGTCTGCTTTTGGAGCTACGCACGTGCACAGGCACACGGGCTGGCTGGTGGTGGGTAGCAGCAGAGCAAAACCAAGGAAGGATGTTGGCCTCAGGAAACGCAAGCCCCAGGAGCTGGCATCTGCCTTCTGCCCCTGCAGCAGGGCTTCCTCGGCTCTTGTAGCTGCTGCCTTCTCCTCTCTGAAGCTCCTCTCTTGTCGCCCCAGTGCCTGGAGCTGGAAGCAGGGCCCGAGCAGCGGCAGTGGGGTGTCTTTGACCTTGCTGCTTCACGACAAGTGCCTTGATTCCTATTTAAACACCCCCAGCTGAGGAGCACTCTTGTTTGACAGGCTAAATTACATTTAAACACATATTCTCAGCTGGTATCTTTTCCTCACTCAACTGTCAAAAGCACAGAGTGCAAATAACTTGATATATATTAGCTGAATCTAAGCTAAAATCTTGTCAAATGCATTGCCAAGCCTAGGAGGAGTGTTGGCTCGCTCTGGGATAGGTTTGGTACATAGGCTGGACACAGGAGCATGGCCAGCATGGATGAATTTGAGGCAGGGCTGGTGTGTGGTTTGCCACATGTAGTCAATTTTTACTGGGCACTGCCTTCTTTTAGAGTATGTGCTTCAGTGACTCACCTTGTAAATCAGCTGTGGTCATAAACTGCTTTCTGATGAAAGCCATATTTTTGGGGGTTACCATGCCATAGGGTCGTATAAGGTGCCCTCTGTTAAAGCTATGCTTCACTTTCAGACAAAACTTCTCTCTTTCTTTCTTTTAAGACTATCTTTCTCTGTCAGTAGCAGATACTAAAAGGATTGTTTTGTGCCACATCTACCCCCTCCAAGTAAACAGCGGTACTCACAGGGCTTCTCAGTTCAAGCCAGATAGCACTACCATTCCCTCCTGCAAGCATTCCGTCTCAGCAAAAGGAAGAGCAAGGCATAAGACCTGCATTAAGACCTCCACCAATGTTCTAGTGGCTGTCTGGCAGTAAGAAGTTACAAAACACTCTCACCTGACCCCATCCCTGTTGAGGAAATTTATCTCATGAAAATACATCCAATTTTCACACACCAGGGCATCAGACATATGAAAATTGCTACTAAATCTGGATTACAAAGAAAAAAAAAAAAAAAAACAACAAAAAAACAGCATTAGACTGTGTTCTCTCTCTCTCTGCTATTTAACTACTATTTAACATCTTAATCCACCTGGGCCATTTTTTTTTTTCCTTTTTACTATAATCCCTTAATATAGTCTGCACTTTTTATAATCATTCTCCTTTCTCACAGTTTTAGGTTCCCACTTAAGCTACTTTCTTTACCTTAATTACTTGGCTAACTGTAATCTGTAAGAAATCATAGACATGTGAGAGGGCAAGCCCTTATGATGAGGCTGTCTTCTTGCCAAAGAAAAGCTACACACTGCAGTCTATTTTGTTAAGTTTTATTCAGCAGTTGAGGCTTAAATGGCTAAAGTCGGGAAGCTTCTACCATTTCCTTTGAGATATTAGACTGCAATAGAATAGAAGTCAGTGCTGGGAAAATTTTCCCTGCAAATTTGCAAGATTGGTGTTCTGTATCTTCATTTGCTATTAGTAGGTAGTCCCAGCAGCTGGTTTGTATGTCTTAGCTCCTAGACCTGAGAGCAATCCCCATCTCCAGTAGAACCTCATGTGTTCATGTTGTATTGTCCCTTGGCTGAACAATTAAGATAACAAATTACTCGGGGAAGGAACAAACCAACATCCTGGAAGCATGGAGACAGGGAATAAAACTGGCAGCAGTCAGCAGAATGCTGGTGATGTTGCTAGTGGCTCTGCTGGCTCAGTACATAATAACTGGGGCTTGTCCTCCTAGGTGGTGTAGACCCTGATTTGTGGGAGTTTTGGTGATTACTCACTCTAGTGGCATAAGGAGTAAGAACCCTACCGTGTGCCAGCATGAGACACTATCTTCTACATCTGCTGGGTGAGCTGTAATTTGTTGCTTTGTTTACTGGCTTTCTTTAAATGATGCCTTGGTTAGTCTTCATGGGATGCAGCTGTGCCTATCATTGCAAAGTCCTGGGCAGGAGTAGGCAGTGCATTTCTGTAAAAACGGAACAGAAATGAGCCTAATAACCACAAAATACCTCCCGGAGCAAATAGCTCACAGAAGTTTCCATTCCAGAATAATATTTTGAAGTAACTGGAGATCATTTCCTATAATGTTCATCACCTTTTCTGGTGCTCAGAATGACTCAGAACCAGCTGCAAGCTTCTGTAGCCCTGGAAACACTTGAAAATGTGTGTTTTGCACCAGCAGCCATCTACACAGTCACAAAATGACTTGCATGCTCCCAGCATCTCTTTATGCGATCCACCCTTCACAGCTCAGAAGATATTTGTTGCTAAGGGCTTGACGTTTGGCAGTCCAGGATCTGTAGGGCTCCTGTTTATGTGCTTTTAATGTCATCTAATGTCACTCATGCTCAGATCCAAAAAGACACTTAGGTACTTCAAATGTTACATAGGTGGAACTGAGGCACAATCAATGTGCCTAACCCCTCAGTAGAAGTGAATATTCAAGTGCTTGCACTTTTTTCCTGGCCTTGAGAGTCCTGTTAGTATGCATCTTCAGAGCTGGTACATTCTCAGCTGAGTGCAGGGTTAGTCTGAAGTCCCTGTGGGATCCAAAAAGCCTCTCTAGGCCTAAAACCCTGAGCAGTCACATTTTGTTAGGTTTGTTCCTAGCACACCTAATTCACACTGGGGGACTGGTCTCAGTTTGAAGCAGAGAAACCAATGCTACATTTTCATTTATTGAGCTCACGGGATGGTGAACCATCAAAGTTGGTTTTGTTCAGAAGAAAGAGAAGGAGACATCTACCTTCTGTAAAATAGATGGTGGCTGGAATATTGCCTGAGGTGGTAAAACCAAGTTTCTGGTGTCCTCAGCTGAAAAGAGGTTGTACTTTCTTCTCCCACAATCCAGGATACTATGGGAGGTTTCTGGTTGGCAGGAAAGCAGGAGAAAGATGAAAGCTGTATCATTTTACAACTGAAACTGAAAGATTTGTGAGACTGGAGGGAGCCCTTGCAAAATCATCTTATGATAAGGGCATTCACTGGCAAATGTTTCTTCCCCTGTTCCAACAATAGTTTATGTAT